AAAATGAACGTCGAAGCTACGAAAATTATAGAAAATATGAAGTCTTGCACCATTGTCGTTATATATGGTTTCTTGGATCCCAAAATATCAATTTTTACTCGACTTCAACTTTCTAAATTAAAAAACATGTTTAATATTGAGGTCAAAAAGATCGAAATTATACAATATTCGATAGATTTATAGAATCGTTATTAAACATTGGGTCCATTATTATTGTTAAATGTGCGTCCCCTCGGTCAGAGGCCCATTGGGCTTCACGCCGTCCATTAAAATGAACCGCGGGTAGAGCGAGAGGAAACGCCGGCACTTTTGAAGGTGGACCCGCGATTTGAACGTCCCACTGTCTTGCCATTTGCGAAACGCTATTTGGCGCTTCGTGCTTCTCGAGATCTCCACAATGACTGCTACTTAAGTCATTCGTGATAGTGCCGCGTGATTGCGACATCCGACGCGGGGCGTCATTGCTCATTCAGATCTGTGCCGCATCCGACGATTTTAAAGCAGCTGCGTTTCCTTCGAAACGCGTTTGTACTCCAGCGACAGGCCCGTCTGACGTAAGTCAGCGCATTAAATCGTAGCCAAATTAAATTACCTCGAGCGAGTGACATCTCAAGTCGCATTTTACGCGCGCGCTGCCTCGCGCAACCTTGCATTTTAAACACTCACGACGCTTCGGAGACAAAGAGAGAAAAATAGGGGGAAAAAGGCAGCGTGGAGAACGCCGAGCTAAAAACAGACCTATGTCGATCGATCAAAGGCCGAGGCGCGTCAGCCGCGCTCGTCGGCGACTTGTCTTCTATTCCCGCCGAAACTAAGCCCATCGGCGACTTCACTGGCGACGCAGCAAAAGAGACAGAGGGGATGACGATCATTCCGATCGCCAAGTACCGCCGCGCGCGCGCTCCGCGGTGGGTACGCAATAATCATCTTACGAGCCGGCGGACGTTACGTGGTGTCTGGGTCACGAGCGCGCATATCGTCGCGTGAGCGCGCGCATACACGTATGTATGTACAACGTGCACGCGTCCGATAGCGGACGATGTCGCCATGTGGTGCAATAGACTCCTCAGGTGGCGAACGCGGGGCGTCATTTCGCTGCCGAGCAACGTTCGCCGCTGGATTCCAATGCTGGTGGCGACGCGCGGAATACCCTTTCGCGGCATGGTTTAGGCATGTTCCGATTCCCCCCCGAGAGATTGCCAAGATACCTGCTTGAAGACGTAATCGCGCGAGAAACTCGCGCTGCTCTTAACGCCACGATCGCGACATTCAATATGCGGTTGCGTCTGAAGGTGCAATTCCGACGTGAATTCTTATAAAATAATAATTGCGAGGGATCAGATGCTTAGCCTCAGGTGGAACAAGCGGTTTTCATTCCTTTTTAACTGATTGTTTTGCGACATGAAGCGGCATATGACTCGCGGACAGCTTATTCTTACACTTTCGCGGAACTAGACGCCCCCGTGTCAAGTCGACGAGGACAAGTAACGTTTTCTGAACTTGTTTATTTCTCACCTCGCGTGCTTTGTGCCCGGGGGCAAAATCGATTCGGCCCGGCAAAAGTTCGAAGGCTAATCGGTGGGATTGGCGAAAAATGCTTTCCGCAAATAGAACACCTTGATTTTTGCTAACGACACGTGCACTTCGTTGTCCTCCTTCGCGCGCACGAGGCTACTCGGCGGGAGAAAAAGAACATTTATCATAGCTCGCGGCTTATTCGTGTTATGCAACTCGCGTCTACCTCCTCGGTGGAAATTACACTATAGTTAGATACGGCATCGCCGACACGTGAGGGAACGGCGCCTGCCGACGAGGAAAACGTGTCCGAAAGGCCTCTCGCGCGCGCTTTGCCAGCCGTGAAAATGCTATTGAAATTGTAGCGCGACAAAGATAACGATAATAGCGCCGACATTATCGGAATTCGTCGCGCAATCGTTGAGAGGTCGTTTGCGTCTTCGGCTAATGTTCTTATCGTGCCCGGTAGTTAATCGATAGCGACGACGCTCTAGCCTTTTGCATCCTATTGTGCAACAGCGAAGATCTCGACGAACGACGATCCGTCGGACCGATACGAATTTTCGAATAGTCGAGTTTCGATAAGAGACGAGAATGCGCGTAAATCTCTTTATCGCGTCCATCGAATTGGATGCCACGAATTACAACGCCATTTTTTTTATGAATCCTTTGTAAATTTTGCGCCAATATCTCAGCACGCTCGCCCGCTCAGGTTTCGAGAGGCTAGACAGTCGTGATGGCTCGCAGAAACCCAGCGTCTTCGCGCGATCTTAATTCACGATGTACAAACCGATAGATAACTTTTCCCGGCCTCGACACGATTTCGCCGATGCGCGCGCGAAGATACGATACCGAGATGAGGTTTTCAACGGCCGGGTCGCGGCGATCGATGGGTACGGCGATCTATCAACCGGCTTCTTCGTCGATGGTAATCAGTAATCATTGGTGTCATTCAGGGAGAGGAACAGTGCCGAGAGAGGCCGGCAATTAAGTAACACTTACGATGCTGCGCGAGCGCGCTACATCGCAACACACGCGTGCTCTTCGTCAATATTGATTCAAGAACGGCGATGCGGCGCAAATCAGACTCATTGTCCGCGGTATTGTGAAAGACGTACGAGTGCGCTCGATATTTTCAGTCCTATACACCCCGGAGACGGCTTGTACACGCGGGACAAGAAAAGGATCCTACCGTGAAGGGCCGCGTCGTGCGCGAAAAGCGCGATGCGCATCGTGCATTTAATGGCCGTTTAGCGAGACGATAACCGTTTCTCTGAAATACACCTCGAGAGGATACACTGCAAATATCCCTCGAGTCCTAGAAATACCATCGAACGCCTGCAGCATGGAAATTCATAGGGGGATTTGTGCGATGCGGTTAGCATAGCATTTACAAGTTAAACAGATTTTAAGATCGTCGAAGGAACGGGCGGGGATTTTTTCGCGCGTGTCCGAGTAAATAAACTGCATTTGTGCGAAACAATGTTCCGCGGAAGTTTACATAATACCCGGCGTGTCGAACAAAAGGAGAATTGCGTAATACGTTGTTTTGCGCCGAGTCGTTCGACGATCGCGATTGTGCGACGATTTAATGAGAAATATTCGAGCGTTAATAGAGAAGAGTCCCCTATTATAAGATAGACTCCTGGTGATCATCTTAATGAGATAGCGGGGTTTCTGTTAAATTCGTAGACGTCATCTGTTGGTCCCACCATGAATCTATCACCCTTGGAGTGAAATCTGTTTAGTGGAATATTCATTGTTAAGGCCTGTGTCCACGATGCTAGAACTTGGTCCAAGTTCTAGTTCCGAGAAATGTGTAGCCAATCTTTAATGGAATAGCTGCAAGTTGATTGGCTACGCAAGTTCTAGCATCGTGGACACAGACCCTTAGATCGTGCACTTGTTGCAAAAGAGACTTGTGAAATTGAATGCTGAAAACTCGCTATCTTATATGAGGAGTCTATCTCATAAAGGGGACTTTCCTCTAATAAAACCGGTGCGAAAGTCACGCTCCGCGTATCGCCCGGCCCGCTACTTCGAGACGCACGTGTCTCCCGCTTTATCGGACACGTCGCCCGGAACACTCGGCCCGTTTCCTCTCCCCGTCCCTTTCCTCCCTGTCTTTCTTCTGTTTCTATTCTTTTTTTTTACCACCTTTCCTTTCCTTCCGACGTACCGACGAATCAATTCCGCGGCGGCACGAAATTCTCACGGGATCTCTCTCGCAATAAATTACTGCCCGAGGACGTTAGTCTGCCGACCTCCGCGCTCGCGTACGAAAACGAGTTTCTCAGTCGTCATCGTCGCGCGAGCAAACGAGCGCGATGACGAATAATCGAGTGTCCGCGATTAGCATACTCATGCGGGTAGCTGAATTCGGTCGAGTGCACCATGGACACCATGCCGCCGATTACGCGGTCCCCCACCGTCCGAGAATGCCATACCGAGTTAAAAATATTTTGACGAATATTCTATGTCGTTTCTTTTTTTAAGCATTTCACTGTCTCACGCGTCACGTCTTCTCGCGTTTACCCAAACAGCTCTTGCGTGAAATACAGACGAAAATAGAAGGGAATGAAACAGCGCAAAGTTCGCTCTTAAAATAAACGTTAAAGCAAGTATTTTATCTACTTGCGCAGATCATACAGATGGAATTTGTGTCTTACCGAGGAACGAATCTTGTTATCTCTACATTAGCACCAAAATATACAATACATTTTCGTCTTCAAATAGCATGTATGAAATAGTCACATTTCTATTAGATTAGATAAGAATTTGCATTTATTATTTATCTATTACTATAATGTACTGAGCATATCGCGGCGATCGTGGCGCAGAGTTATCCTCTAATCCTGAGTCTAATGAACCAAAGATCCGAGTTCGAATCCAGAAATTGTCGGTTTTTATACAATCGTCGTCTCTCGGAAGGAAATGGGTAATCTGCTGGGAATATCTTACCCCTTCCACATAGATATATAGAGGAGTTTAATGCTCAAAAATCGAGCAGTGACGAAAATTATAACAAATATAAAAATTTGATATCACTTATCTATAATTATTTTAAATTCTGCGATTGCTCTACGAAACCCCATGTTCCTCGGAGAAATCTTTGTTCCCAGAGGCATTATGCTTCCACTTGGAGTAACAGGATTTAATAATAACAATAATATTGAATATACATTGTGGTGATCCATGGCGCAGAGGATTGTGCGCCGGTCTGGTAATCCAAAGACCCGGGTTCAAAACCGAACAAAACATTGTTTCTCGGTTTTCGGTCGATCGCCACATATGGAAATTGAATTCTATTGACAATAATTAAATCTAATAAAAATTAGCGCAGCTATCAAAATGTGAAATACATCTGGCGGCTGGCCTAGGTCTGAATTGTATAAATACTAATAAATTTAATAATCGTTTGTCGTCATAAATTATGAAGGGATTTCGTAGAGAAGTTCGCGATATCAGAAGTGCGTTTTACTTACCGGACTCTGACTCCTGATTCAGCCGGTCTACGCTCCTCGGCTCGTTCAGGTGGTAGCAATGGTCAGTGTGGGAAGCTCGCAGGATATCGGCCTGCTGTTGGCTGGGTGTTGAGCCGTTCGCAGGTTCCCTCCGACTCCGTCTGGTCGTCGAGCTCCCAAGCGTTTCCTCGATGTTGTGCTGGCAGAGCGAGGCATTATTCGAATCATCCGAATCACTCGAATCATCCGAATCACTCGAATAATCCGAATAATCTACCCCTCTCGCTCGCCAGTAGTCTCTCTGCCGCCGCTTCACCTCTTTGTACGGTATATCGGCAAGTTGTAGTGGCCCTATGCCACGAGGTGACGCAAATTTTAACAACTGCCTTTTGATATACTCGTCCTTGTCCTTGGCAGAGAGGAGCAGGAAATCGTCTTCCTTCGACCGGGAATTTTTTTGTTGCGATTTTAGAAGACTTCTGTTGAATGTAGAATTTTGTTGGTGAATAAACTCGTTTTTATTTGCAGACTTTGCCCCGTATGCAGTTGTGCACCACATTACTGCTAGATTAGAAGTCAGATATTTAATGACATCTTCTTCTTCATCGGACTGTTCTCCTAGCCACCTTCTTTCATCAATCGTCGCGGTATCTTGTTGCTGTACATCTTTCGTCGGTTCGAAGTTAAATTCGTCCCATATCCATGGACACAAATATGGCCTAGGTTTCGATTCCCATAGCTGTTCTTGCTTCGTTTGCGGCTCTGGCTCCAGCACCAGCTTCAACTTTGGCTTCGACTCTGGCTGCGACTTTAGCTCGGGCTTCGACTCCGGTATCAGCCGCTGCTGCAGCGACTGTTGCTGCTGCAACTGCTGCTGTTGCAACTGCTGCTGTTGCTCAATTTGCTGCTTCAATTGTTGCTGCAGTTGCAATCGCTGCCGCGCCTGCTGCCGCCGCTGCTGCTGCTGCCGCTGCTGCCGCTGCTGCCGCTGCCGCTGCAGCTGCTGCTGCTGCTGCTGCTGCC